TGCACACAAATTGTGAGTGGGTATGTGTTTGGGGCCACGGTTTTCGGACTTCGTCGGAAGAGTAGGCTTGGAATGGCTGGCATGTAAAATGTTGCAAGGTTTGCCAAAGTTTACGGCCGTTGGAGCAAAACGGAAGCTTTGAGGAACCCACATCGGCTGACGGTTAGGACTCAATGGGATGAGAATGCAGGTCCGAGGAGCCCACTTTGTCACGTGGAGGTCGGGCGTGAAACAAAAAAAACGTGATCCCCGCTAAACAATGCTTTGACACCGCATCTTGGTGGCCAGCCGGCGACCCGAATAGTCTGATGTTGTTTGCGTGCCTGGTCACGATACTGCGCACCAGATTGGCGTCGTTGTCCTTGAGCACCTCCGCAACAGCATGTCCGAGAACCGTGCACATGTATTGGCCGTAGTAGTAGTAGTAGTAGTAGTAGTAGTAGTCGTCGTAGTAGTAGTAGTAGTAGTAGTAGTAGTGGTAGTGGTAGTGGTAGTGGTAGCAGCAGAAAACACTGCTAGTTGTAATGATAATAGCAGCAGTAGTGGTCGCAACAGTACTAGCAGTAGTGATAACAAACCCAGTGATGGTAGAGGCCTTGTAGAGGCAGCAAGTTGTGAAGGGTGGTTTTGAGGTATAGTGGTGGTGTTGGAAAATGAATGTGGTGGTGCTGTTGTTTTGGGGTGTTGTTGCTGTTGCAGTTGCGTTTGGTTCTGCTCGTTTGTCGTTGCCGATATTGGCAGTAAACCGACACTGAAGCAACAGTAGCAGGCAGCAACGAACAGCAACATACAGCAACCGAAACCTACGGCTGATAGTGTTCGTATCGTACCTCAAAGGTGCGAGCTCAGACTGACGGGTATAACGATTTCTACATGGAACAAGATAAGCCCCACCCGACCCGAGTCGTGACCGAACCCTCTTCGGCTGATAAATCCAGCTTTACATCGTGAGCACCAATGCTTATGATTATGGTGAAGCTGAAGAGGACAGCCATGGGCAGGAGCAGGAACAGAAGCAGGACTAGCGGTAGCAGTAGGCCAAGTACACGAAGAAACACGATAAATGTTATTGTGAAGGAGGATGTAGTAGTAGTAGTAGTAGTAGCAGTAGTAGTAGTAGTAGTAGTAGTAGTAGGAGTAGTAGGAGGAGGAGGGGGAGTAGTAGTAGTAGTAGTAGTAGTAGTAGTAGTAGTAGGTAGTAGTAGTAGTATTAGTAGTAGTAGTAGTAGTAGTAGTAGTAGTAGTAGTAGTAGGTAGT